CGGAAAAACATAATTTTGCAATCTCGTCCGTATGTCTGTGTGTGTGTCTGTGTGTCTGTCCGTGTGTAAACACGATAACTTGAGTACCGTTACAGCTAGGTTGATGAAATTTCATATATAAGTATTTATCGTAGATCCGTATCATCTTTTGAGCGATTTCCGATAACCGGAAGTGGTACTTTTCCTACTTTGAATTTTTCAAAAGCCTATAACTTGAGTACTATTTCAGATAGATAAATGAAATTTCATACGTAAGTAAAAGATCTAATTCTCTACCTTCTATTAAATTTTGAGTCATTTACGTTGACTGGAAGTAGTACTTTACGCTACTTCCGATTTCTCAAAAAACTAATGTAAATTTTAAAAGTAATAATAATATTGCGCACTATTATGCGTTTTTTTATTTGGCGTTCACTTGGTGTGCAATTAATTTGTCTACGAGATTTTATTCTATTTTTAAAACTTTAAGTATTTAAAATGGATTAAAAATCATGTCTATAGCCCGAGTTCCCATCCCCTGTTATTTTATATAAGAGTATTCGAGAAAGTTTAGGGGAGATCACTCCCGGTTTATTTTAATTTGTAAGCTTTGAAAAAAAAAATGTAAGCTTTCTGTGGGATTGTGCTTCTGTCCGACGTAATATCTATATATATAATTCTCTTCTTCGAGCCGTTAGAAAACAAGCTGCAAACGCTCTCCCTACCTCCCCACCCCTACATGGTTTTAGTGAGCTGTGTTCACTCTAAATGTTTACAAGCAGAGCCAACGATTTTAAACGTAGGGGGGGGGGGGGGAGGAGGGGGGGAGGGAAGGAAGGCGGGGGGGGGGGGTTATGGTCCTTAACGAGCTACTTATAGTGTTTTAAAGAAATATTTTCAGTGTCAGCGTTGGTACTGTCGAATTCACAAATTATGAATTATTGAAAATTAGAAACAACTAAATAGCGGCGTATGTTATGCCGCGGGCCGGCTCGTGGAGTTATATTGTTGATCTTTGCAAGCTTGTTGAGCCGAAAGCCTATATAGTAGCGAGCTAGAGGGTGAAAGTTTGGCTGACTGATTAGTCTGCCAATGTCTGTTAATCTCAACGTGTTGATTGTGGTCTGTGTATCGTGCAGGTTTATTCCTCCCTGAAGTTTGTTTTGCACTAGCGTGTTGTGGCTGATGTATGTTGTTACTGTGGTCTGAGATATTAATTTTGGGGATAACACACTATTAATTATAGGTGACCTGGCCCAATTGTTGTTGAGCTTAATTTATAAAGTGCTATGGTGTTTTTAATTTTGCAACGCTTACACAGATTATAAAACAAGCACTACTTTAATAAGTTATGTACACTTTCTTGAAGGTAGGTGACGTAGAGTTAACCTGCTTGTCTAACCACGGCCCATAAACTTATAGTATGGTGAGCACTATGTCAAGACACTAATACAGCCGATACACAAAAAAATGAACATTTCTGTAAAAACATACAATGATAAGACTTAAATATAACAAAAGTATAATCAGACAACTATACTAAAATACTCCCATTACAAATTAGATTCTTAAACTAGATGCGTACATAAAACTCATGTTCAAGACGACAGTTCACGAGTTAAAAAGAAAAAAGCAACACTCGAATAGAACAATGCCTTGTCTACATTTTTGTGTGTACTTTCCGTATCTGTGTAGTTGCTCGTTAGTCAAGAATCCCCTTGGCTAATGAACTGCTAGTGATGATTGGTAAATGGCTTTAACAGGGCGGGGTAATAGTGAGAATGTTAGATAGTTTCAGCTAGGGCGAGTTTGTAGCGTGTTCTGTTTAAATATGGCTCTCTCTCTCTCACACACACACACACACACACTCACACACACACACTCACACACACAGAGATATATATATATATATATATATATATATATATATATATATATATATATATATATATATAAATTTATTTATATATATATATATATATATACAAATAAATATATATACATACACACATTTATATATATATATAAATATAAATATAAATATAAATATATATATATATATATATATATATATATATATATATGTATATATATATACATATATATATATATATATATATATTTATTTATTTATTTATATATATTTATATATATATATATATATATATATATAATTCACATGTTTAGCACTACTGTGACTAACATACAAATCAAATCCATTGTCTCCATGCTAAGTATGTCAATACGTCTTAATAACAGTACGCATTAATTATTTTCTATTAAAACCTCTAGTAAAGACTTTTTTTCCCAAATTACTACTTTAAAGTACTAAAAACAGAAAAGTTTCAATATAAAACAATTACAATAAAGTACTTATAAAACATTGTTGGTTGTGTGTTTTTATTTGGGTCCGTGTTTGCGAGTGTAAGAACCACTGGCATATTGAAATAGCTGTACCCGTTTTAGCCTCCCCCTGATGAGACTGCCTAGATATTCGTTTACCTGTCTTTCATTAGAATTTTCTTATCGTTTTTCCAAATCCTGGAGGTTTTTTATTTCGGGAGCTGAAGGTTGAAGGCGGGGGGGGGGGGGGGGGGGGGGGGATGAGGTTACTGTGTAGGTGTTAAGCCAGGCTTTAAAAAAAATGCACTGTAGTCGAGGAATGATTGAGGAAAGAGGGGTACGGTTGGGGGTTTGGGATTTGATTGATTTGGAAGGTGAAAAAGGGTTATCGTTATTTAATAGAAACGAGGGGGGTTGGTTATTATTATTATGAGGGGTAGTTATATAAAGAAGTGGAGGGAGAGTGTGTTGATCTTGTGACGTAATATTGGATGTGTTTTTAAATATGGCGGAGATAGGTGTTAGCAGATGGAAGTTTCGAGACGATGTCAAAAAATGTCCTGATTTATCACGGGTCGGGTGTAAGCTGAGAGGTGGGTAGGTAAACCACGTGACTTGATTAGTTTGTCAGGGATGTAGTTATGAAGGTGACAGCGCCGCACTCTACTGGTGCTTATCTGGGGGGGGGGGGGTTAGGTGTTTTTTGAAGGCTTGCTCATTAACATTCTCACGATCTACTTGTGTTCAGTGTTTCTTTCAGGTATCTATGTTCCTGCCTTGCCCTTAACAAAAGATAATCTATATAGAATATATGTATTTTTAAGCGTGTCTGACCCCTTCCTCCCCCCTCTCCCGAAAAGTTACCCCTTTCCCGGAGAAAAATATATCTGAAAGAAACAATGCGTGCATTATGGTTGTAACGTACTTCATCGTATATCATGCCCGCATTTCAATTATGTAATGCTCGCAGTTAACTTATATCACGACAACATGGAACTTGTATCTTGCTCGCATTTAAAGTCTTGTCATCATTTAACTTGCATCATACCCTCATTAGGGGTCGGCGTGGTCGGTAAAGCTCATGGTTGCTAAACCGAAAAGTCTCGAGTTTGAACCCTCGGGCAGATGAGGCTCGTTAGCTAAGGACAGCCACTCTTCTAGGTGAGACAACTCCAAAGTAAAAAACTGCTGCCTTGTAGTTTGTTCTCGGTTGGACAAACACTCTGGAAGCAAATACAAAAAGAAAAGCAGGCTGAAATCAATGGCTTCAATGTCGCAGTTGACACGTACACTTAATTGTGTTGGAGGGTATTCCTTCCAACACTAAAATTAAGTAAGAAGAAGAAGAAGATACCCTCATTTATTGTGAATCATGACCACATTTTATTTATATCACGCCCACATCACGTGTATCACGCCCACATTGTACTTATATCACGCCCACATAACGTGTATTACGCCCACATTTTACTTATATCACGCCCACATAACATGTATCAATCCTCCCTTTAACTCGCATAGTTCCCACATATAACTTACATTAAGACGCCGCATTTTACTTGTATCAAAGGCTCCAATTTACGATGTATCACCATGGCCTAAAAGTTACATTGTATCATGGCCCCATAATTTAACTCATATAAAATTGTATCTTAATCCCATCGTATTACAGTAACAAAGACACAATATACTCGTATCATGACATCATAATTCGCACCAAAAACACGCCATTTTCTTATAAAAGCAATTCGATGTTCTTTAATTGATTAAAACAATTAACACAACTATTTTTTTTAATATGATTTCCCTATTGTTTTCCAAACGATTTTGTTTACATCGATTGAATAACCCAGCCCACACCATTTTTCGTGCATGTTAAACATTTTTTTCTCATATGAATACGTTCTTTGTTATTCGAATGTTTATTTCTTCTCATAACTGAAAGAAAGCAATACAACAGACAATAAATCTACCCCCCTTCCATATAAGCCCAATACAGCAAAACAAATGCATCCATCCAATTCTATACATTGTTCTGGCCAATGCAAACTGATCTATCCAGTTCTATACATTGTTCTGGCCAATGCAAACCCACGTCATGTGACCGTCAGCACGTGACGTCCCCACCTCATTTGTCATATCCGGTTTCGGCGTCCCCACATCCGGTCAGCGAGGGGGTGGGCTATTAGCTCGCATGACGACACTTCATTAATTGAACCTTATTCTTCTGTCCATTCTTCCAACAATAATTGAACCTTATTCTTCTTTCATTCCCTACATCATTTATTGAACCTCTGTCCATCCCTCAATCATTAATTAAACCTAATTATTATCTCCATCATTAATTGAACCTCATTATTCTGCCCATCCCTCCATCATTAATTGAACCTCTGTTCACCCCTCCATCGTTAATTGAACATCATTATTCTGCCCATCCCTCCTTCATGAATTGAATCTAATTATACTGTCCATCCCATTTAATTGAACATCTGTCCATCCCTCTATCATTATTTGAACCTCATTATTCTGTCCATCCTTCCAACATTAATTGAACCTCATTATTCTGTCCACCCCTCCATCATTAATTGAACCTCTGTCCATCCCTCAATCATTAATTGAACCTCATTATTCTGCCCATCCCTCCATCATTAATTGAACCTCTGCCCATCCCTCCACAGGGCGTGGCAGTATCCGGCCTGGAATGGAACCGTTCTGCCATCTTTGGACCACTGTCGTTGTCGTCGCTCTGATGCTCACAGTTATAGGTAGGTGTGGGGCTGGTGGTGTCGGTCTGATGTTCACAGTTATAGGTAGGTAAAGTGTGGGGCTGGTGGTGTCGCTCTGATGCACACAGTTATAGGTAGGTGTGGGGCTGGTGGTGTCGCTCTGATGCTCACAGTTATAGGTAGGTAAAGTGTGGGGCTGGTGGTGTCGCTCTGATGTTCACAGTTATAGGTAGGTAAAGTGTGGGGTTAGTGGTGTCGCTCTGATGTTCACAGTTATAGGTAGGTAAAGTGTGGGGTTAGTGGTGTCGCTCTGATGTTCACAGTTATAGGTAGGTAAAGTGTGGGGCTGGTGGTGTCGCTCTGATGCACACAGTTATAGGTAGGTAAAGTGTGGGGCTGGTGGTGTCGCTCTGATGTTCACAGTTATAGGTAGGTAAAGTGTGGGGCTGGTGGTGTCGCTCTGATGTTCACAGTTATAGGTAGGTAAAGTGTGGGGCTGGTGGTGTCGCTCTGATGTTCACAGTTATAGGTAGGTAAAGTGTGGGGCTGGTGGTGTCGCTCTGATGCTCACAGTTATAGGTAGGTAAAGTGTGGGGCTGGTGGTGTCGCTCTGATGTTCACAGTTATAGGTAGGTAAAGTGTGGGGCTGGTGGTGTCGCTCTGATGCTCACAGTTATAGGTAGGTAAAGTGTGGGGCTGGTGGTGTCGCTCTGATGTTCACAGTTATAGGTAGGTAAAGTGTGGGGCTGGTGGTGTCGCTCTGATGTTCACAGTTATAGGTAGGTAAAGTGTGGGGCTGGTGGTGTCGCTCTGATGTTCACAGTTATAGGTAGGTGTGGGGCTGGTGGTGTCGCTCTGATGCACACAGTTATAGGTAGGTGTGGGGCTGGTGGTGTCGCTCTGATGTTCACAGTTATAGGTAGGTAAAGTGTGGGGTTAGTGGTGTCGCTCTGATGTTCACAGTTATAGGTAGGTAAAGTGTGGGGTTAGTGGTGTCGCTCTGATGTTCACAGTTATAGGTAGGTAAAGTGTGGGGCTGGTGGTGTCGCTCTGATGTTCACAGTTATAGGTAGGTAAAGTGTGGGGTTAGTGGTGTCGCTCTGATGTTCACAGTTATAGGTAGGTAAAGTGTGGGGTTAGTGGTGTCGCTCTGATGTTCACAGTTATAGGTAGGTAAAGTGTGGGGTTAGTGGTGTCGCTCTGATGTTCACAGTTATAGGTAGGTAAAGTGTGGGGCTGGTGGTGTCGCTCTGATGCACACAGTTATAGGTAGGTAAAGTGTGGGGCTGGTGGTGTCGCTCTGATGTTCACAGTTATAGGTAGGTAAAGTGTGGGGCTGGTGGTGTCGCTCTGATGCACACAGTTATAGGTAGGTAAAGTGTGGGGCTGGTGGTGTCGCTCTGATGCTCACAGTTATAGGTAGGTAAAGTGTGGGGCTGGTGGTTCAGGCTTGGGTGCTTGTGTCGTTGTGAGTAGATCAATGGTGGGTGCTGGTAAGCAGACCAAAGTTGGGTGCTTATGGAGTTGTAAGCAGATCAAAGCTGGGTGCTTGTAAGCAGACAACAGCAAGGCTGAAACTTGCCCCACCAAGTCACAGCACACAACAATGTTGTATTTCTTCATTAAATTCAACGTCTATCAGAATTGCTTAAAAATTAAAACAATGCAAGCAATTTATTTACACTAGCATAAACATAGTTAGATATATGTTTAGATAATACATGCATGCATATATATATATATATATATATATATATATATATATATATATATATATATATATATATATATATATATATATATATATACAATTTTATATTCAATATATAATCTCTAGATAGATGTTCAAATAGAGTTCCTTATTTTACACACAAAGACACAAAACTATTCTTTATAGATTGTGTTTAATGTTTAACAACGACGTATTACTTGATAATAAAATCTTTTGATAAAAGAGTTGTTAATTATTTGAAGGAACTCACCGTTTAAGTAAATATTAAATAAGAGCAATTTTTTTAATGGAAGTGGGTAGGTTGCTTTGAGGCAATCTGAGGGTGAATGATCCAGAGTTTCTTCTATAGGCCTATACTTTTACATATACTTATACATATACATATAAACTTACACCAGCCCCCCCCCCCCCCCCCCCCGAAAAATATTGACCGCCCTCTACCCCCCCCCCCTCGAAAATATCAAGTCCCACCCCCCCGCCCCCCTCCCGGAGAAAAAAGACTGGAAGAAACACTGGAAGTTTCATCCCGTCGTGTGCCTTGTAATCAGCGTACCATACAAATCACCGTATAAATCTGAGTGTCCAATTTTATATTGGAGAGTGCAATTTTTTCTATGAGAGTGCGCCATTTAATTAAAGGCTTGCATCATTTAATCAGATATTTGCACTTTTTAAATCTAAAAATAAACCGTTTAATTTGAGACTGCATCGCTTAATCTGAAAGCTTTTTAATTTAAAATGATAGTGCAAAATGCTATTTGAGCAGGCATAGTTTAATCTCCAATTTTTAAAATTGTGTTGTTCCGGGGTTTAATCTAATTCTGCACGTAATCTGTGAGTGCATATTTTTACTTTCTCGTCTACGAAGTATAGAGAAAATATAGTAATCGTGCACAAAAATATCGAGATACTTGCAAATCTCGACGTTTTAGGTTTTTACTTGAGTACTGTTACAGCTAGGTTGATGAAATTGCACATACAAGTATTATATGTAATTTGTAGTTCTGTGTCAGCTTTTCAGCGATTTCCGGTAACCGAACGTAAAACTAATTCTACTTTCAATTTTTCAAAAGCCTATAACTTGATTACTGTTTCAGATAGATGAAACAAAATTTCACATATAAGTAAAACATCTACTTTTCTGCCTTTTTTCAAATTTTGAGTAATTTCTGTTGACCGGAAATAGTAATTTACGCTATTTCCGATTTTTCAAAAAACGCATGTGAATTTATAAAGTACTAATAATATTCCGCACTATTATACACAGATTGTTTGGCGTTCACTTGGTGCGCAATTCTTTTTTTCTATGAGATTCTATACTATTTTAAAAAGTTTAAGTAATTAAAAAGGGATTAAAAATACTGTCTATATCCCGAGTTGCCATCCCCCGTTGTGTTATCCTAATATATAATTCCCCATGTGCGCACTTCTCTCTCTCTCTCTCTCTCTCTCTCGCTCTCTCTCTCTCTGTCTGTCCGCAAAATATTTTCGCCGGACATCACGTCAGAAACGGCAGCGATATATGGAGAACTTTATACGGACTTTTGTTGAAAATGATATGTTAGATGTTTTAAATGTATAACCACAATTTTATTTAAAGAAGAAAAATAAAAATTAAAGGCGTATTCGAATGTAGAGAAACAGTATTATTTATGCAACCAGAAAAGCATTAATAAATGTGAAAAAGAACGCATAAAACTGTGACGTCACTATTGCTTATACATTAACTAATGACGTCATCTGCCGTGTTTAGAATAAAAAGAAATGAACTATTTCATTCAAATTTGATTTAGATCTACGTACACTATGAAATGTACACAATACAATTTTTCCGGCCTAAACTCATAAAATTTATTTTATTTATTTGGATTCTAGATCTAGATATTCTAGATTCATCTATTCAAGTAATACATTTCTATACTAAAGTATTTCAGGCCTTAATTACTTTATTGAAATCTTTGTTTATCTATGCAATTTGCTAATCTCCATAATATATAAAGCAAAGTTGTCGGGTGCCCGACAGGACACTTCCCGGCGCCGCAGGCGCTTCAAATTTGGCAGGATCTTGCCTTGGGGCGACAGAACACGGGGGCCGGTTGGCCGAAAAGTCTACGATGATGGGGTCAAAACTGACCTCGACTGACCGGCGCCTTATATGAGCTATAAATCGAAAAAAAATGTCCACGGAGGAACCTCTTCATAACTCCTGAGGTCGTAGACCGACCCTCGGGCGAATTAATTAAGCATTCAAATTCTCAATGTTTTCGAACGCCTAAGCAAAGCTGGGCAGCATGCCTAGTATAAGAATATTCGAGAAAAGTTTAGGGGAGATCACTCCCGGTTTATTTTATTTTTTAAATTGTAATTGTGTGAGTCCAGGGTTTAATCTAATAAAGCATGTAATCTGTGAGTGCATATTTTTCCTTGTGTACTCTATCCCCAGCAGCCACTGCGAAAAGAAATGAGAAAAAATCTCACCTGGACGAGCTGTCGTGGGAGGAGATCGTGGTCAAGAGCATCCTGGAGTCGTACAAGATGAGGACCATCTACAGCCGGCCGGTGCTGCGCTACAACGACACCCTCAACGTCAAGTTCGCCGTCCAGCTGCAGCAGATCATGGGTCTCAATGAGCAGGAGCAGATCCTGACTCTCAACATTTGGGACCAGATCGTGAGTACCGTTATAACCTCCGGTAGTTGAGTTGAATCCTAGGATCAGATTGTGAGTAACGTTATAACATCCGGTAGTTGAGCTGAATTCTAGAATCAGATTGTGAGTAACGTTATAACATCCGGTAGTTGAGCTGAATTCTAGAATCAGATTGTGAGTAACGTTATAACCTCCGGTAGTTGAGCTGAATCCTAGGATCAGATTGTGAGAACCGTTATACCATCCGGTAGTTTAGCTGAATCCTAGGGTTATATTGTGAGTACTGTTATACCATTCGTTAGTTTAGGTAGATCCTAGGATCCTATTGTGAGTACTGTTATACCATCCGGTAGTTTAGCTGAATCCTAGGATAATATCGTGAGTACCGCTATACCATCCGGTAGTTTAGCTGAATTTTCTAGGATCAGATTGTGAGAACCGCTATACCATCCTGTAGTTTAGCTGGATCTTCTAATACATTTGTACCGTTATATTATCCGGTAGTTTAGCTGAATTCTAGGATCAAATTGTGAGTTCGGTTATACAATCCTGCAGTTTAGCTGAATCCTAAGATCATATTGTGAGAACCGTTATACCATCCTATAGTTTAGCTGAATCATAGGATTATATTTTAAGTACCATTATACCATCCTGCAATTTAGCTGAATCCTGAATCCAGATCGCGAGTACCGTTATACAATCCTATAGTTTAGCTGAATCCTAGGGTTATGTTATGAGTAGGCTACCGTTATACGATCCAGTAGTTTAGCTGAATCTTTGGATCATATTGTGAGTACCGTTATACCATCCGGTAGTTTAGCCAAATCTTCTGTTAAAAATGTACCGTTATATCATTCTGTAGTTTAGCTGAATCTTTGGATCAGATCGATATAACCTTTATACCATCATGTTAAGGCTGCTGTGAGAGGGCTTCACCTTTCCATACCATTATTGTTGTCGTTCCACTACCAATATTCTTTGGTCACACACATATGAATAAACTAGACAGGATACTTATTTCTTTTTTTTTTTGGTTTTAATAAAAAAGTACTAACAACATCAGTTTAGAATCCAAGTAGACTGGTCATTTACAGGACACAAATGTCCTTCCACACCAACATCATAACCCAATCTACCTAGCATTCATTCTACAGCAACAACGTTCTCTACCTTCAATGTCACTGTCTTTTATGCACGTCACACTTCCATTCGTTTATAACACACCTGCACCGAGATTTATTCGCACCAATTTGTACTCACAGAACACGCATCATAGCACATCCTGTAGTTTAGCAAAATCTTTTGATCAGATCGTGACTGTAATCTGGGATTATATCGAGTGTACAATCCTAATACACAGATATCAGATTATGCATACCATCATGTAGGTTATCACTATTAGAGATCAAATGATGAGTACCATCATACCATCTTTAGCGTAGCATCATACCATCTTGTATTTTTATCAACAAATTAAATCAAGTATTCAGTGCTTCATACTAATCTTTACCTGCATATACTCACCATCTGAAATTAGTCCATACCATCTTATAGTTTTTGACCCACATCTAAGATAAGTACTAGTGTACCATCATACCATTTTTATTCTTTCATATGGGAAAATATCTGAGTACCATCAAACCATCCTAACTCTCACAGATCAAACCTTAAGTACCATCACACCATCCTTACTCTCTATATCTGGGAACATATTTTCGGTACTGTTATACATTCCTTTACCTCCTTACACTAACTTGAAATAAACCAATTACAATGTAAAAACAACCATGACATTTTGCTATGATAAATATATTAGGCCCATGTGTAAATTTAACCTGTTGTCGTACAATCACCCACCGTCAACACCTGATCAAATAATGTCAGTTCAACAATTATTTTACCTGTAAATTCCAGGTAATATTTTACCTCATGCTTTTCCCCTTTTGTTTATCCCTGTATTTGGTTGCAATCGCAATACAGCATCTTCTTCTGTAGTGGTATATTATGAGCAGTGTTTCTTCCAGATTGATATCCCGGGGGGGGGGGGGGCACTTGAAATTTGAAATTTTCGGAGGGGGGGCGACTAAAATTTTCGTTGAGGGGGAAGGAGCGAACACTGTTAAAAGTATATATTTTCTATAAATTCCATTTCGTTCGGGGTGACGGGAGGGGCGGTAGACTCTCTTCGGGGGGTGGGGGGATGGGGCAGAGATGCCTGGAAGAAACATGATTATGAGATCGGTTCTGTAACATCAAATTATGTAACCTCATGACCAAATGACCACTGGTCACATGATACCTACCTAGATGACCCATATCCAAATAACTAAAAATAATGCAAAGTTCAAATACTGACCATCCAGATATTTTTAGAGACTACATTATCCCATCATCTTCCAAATAGTTAATTTAACTAAAGAAAACCAACGTTGAACAAAACACGAACCTTTAGAAAACTCCTACGCTTTAGACCAGATTCAGACACTACAAAACTTGTTTTGTTTCGTTTAGTTCAGTACTCTAAATAGGTTTTCACAATCCTGGAAACTCAATTGCCGTTCGTATACAAACAAAACTGAACAAGGAAGTCTTTTTCTCCAATAACTAACTTCAATAAAAGGTAACCTTTTTAGCAGCAATCACGCATTTCATTAAATAAAAAATTAGAGTTATTTTCGGCATACGAAGTCAGCGTGTCACTAAGAATTTAAATGTTGTCGGGGAAAGATGGGGGGTGGGGGGGGGGGTTATGGGATAGATCATATAAAAATGTGGGATTTTAAATTTTTTTAACAATATAAAAGTTCTATTTTTTTGTGTATACGTTTGTGTGAATTTTAAAATATACAGTTGGTGTAAAACAAGTATTACAAAATCAAATATATACCATAAGCATAATCAATTTAAAAAGCGGCTTAGTGTTAGGTTTCGTAGCTATGAAGAAAGCCTCGCATTCTTCTAAAAGAAAATATAATCTGTACAACACTATGTGAACTTCTATAACAATTTGAGTCGTTGTAGCACCTTCAGCTGATGATGTCTTGTACAGCCACTCTTGAAGGATGTTTAACGATGATTTTAACTCTAAAGTATGTCCAGGAATTGGATCTGAAGACCTTGAATAACGATGGTTTTACGGGGAACTCTTGTGGTTCTGCAAAATTTCGAATTATTTTCTTGCTTCTTTAAACGAAACAATGTAGTTTGCTTCATTAAAATGACATTAAAAAACAGTTTTAAAATAGAGCTTTACGGCGCTTTTGTCACAAATACATGAAGATATCTCAAAACTGATATCCTGCCAAACTGTATTCCAGAAATTTTTTTCAGTGAGGGGAGGGGGGGGGGGGCATTTGGAATTTTCAGAGGTTACCTGAAACTTTTAGAGGGCAGTGACAGTTGTTAAAGTACAAATTTTCTTTAGAAATTTAATATTTTTATTATTTCATCCGGTATGGGGGTCGGTGGACGTGTCCCGGGGGAGGGGGGGGGGGGAGTAGGCACTGCCCGTCGAAGAGAAGACAGAAATAGGAAATTACAGTATCCTTGTACCCCTTTTCATATTTTAAGCCAGTTGAAAATAAGTTTAAGTTAATGCTCTCACCGTCATGAAGGATTACATGTGGATTTACATCGCATCTGATTAGCTGCATCATTAATCCTAGAAGCATAATGTGTATGGATGAAGCATACTACGTGTAACACACACCATGCACACTACACATAGGATCTATCATAATTTTAACAGTATTCCGTTTAGCATATCATGCATTATACACATTTTGAAATGCAATATATCCTTCTTCTGACACGGTTTAGTGCATATCTATAAGGATAAAGTGCCGCACATAGATGGTATCAAGTATATCATGTTGTTTTGTGCATATTTAATGTCACAATATGTGCGACGCAAATTAAAGTAAATGATGAGCTCAACGTAGGGCATAACGTCAACACGTATTTTGAAAGAAAAAACCTCCAAGGGGTCAGTGTAGGGTAACTGTTCAAATCCTATCATAAACATATTCGATATTCTCGTATTGTCACCTAAAGATCTACCACTGTGCCGAAATGTCAACTCAGTCGGACAATGGGAAGTGGGCTAAAGTAAGATTCCAAGATTTGCGGAGCCACACACACACACATACACACATACACACACGCACACACACACACGCACGCACGAACGCACGCACACAAACACAGACATACTGAGAAAGCTAAATAATAGCCTTTAAAAAAACTTATCCTAGGCGCCCCGTGAAGAGAAACGGCTGAAACCCTTTCACACGCACACACATACACATACACACACACACAAACAAACACACACATACTGAGCAAGCTAAATAAAATAGACATCCTAGGGGCTCAGGGTAGAGTTAAACTGCCTAAACCCTCACACACAAACACACACATACACAGACATACACACCCGCACACATACACAGCCTTCTCAAGCCGGCGCAGACGATCAATTAACAGTTATGGTCACCCTCCGGTCAGCCTCATATCACAAGCGCACCCCGATTACATTTCCGCTAACCAGTCACACTACACCGGTGATTGATTATCGATCCTTCGATCCTGGACCAACGACGGTCCGGCCGGTGGACGGCCTAGGCTCTAATTGGCCTAGTTAGTGGACGATGAAAGTAAGTAGTGACCGGAAGTGAAGAAATAAGGAGTGACGAGTAACCGAATATTGCGTAGGAACAGTTTCGTTTTGGGGCGCAGGTAGACATTTAAAAAAGGGGTCGTCAATAATACCCGGAACAAATATTTAACTCTCACAGTGGCAGTGTTTCCGGAACTGTTCATAGAAATGTAGTCGATTGTTTTCATGTACATTGTTTCAATGTACAGAAATCTAACTGGTCTGTTGTTTCTATGTAGATAAATCTATATAGTCTGTAGCAGTGGCGTAGCGAGGTCGGGTGTCACCCGGTGCGGCACTTAATGGTGTCACCCCCCCCCCCCCCCAGAGGCGTAGCGACCCTTCCCGGGGACAAACTTTCAAATGTTTGCCCCCCCCCCCTTTCCTCAAACTTTCGATTTGCACCCTCTACTCAAGTTTTTCTCTATATATTTTGCTATTTTTTGCCTTGGTGTCACCCCCATAAATGGTGTCACACGGTGCGGCCCGCACCACCTGCCCCCCCCCCCCCCTCCCTCACTACGCCTCTGGTCTGTTGTTTCAATGTAGAAAAAATCTAACTGGTCTAGTTTTTTGCAAAAATCCATCTGGTTTGTTGTTTCTCTTTACTTAAAACTGACTGGTCTGTAGTTCTGTTTACAAAAACATCTCTCTTTACAGAAATATATCTAGTATGTAGTTCTGTTTACACAAGCATCTCTCTTTACAGAAATATTTCTAGTATGTTTTTCTGTTTACAAAAAAAGTCTCACTTTACAGAAATATATATAGTATGTAGTTCTGTTTACAAAAAAAGTCTCACTTTACAGAAATATTTCTAGTATGTAGTTCTGTTTACACACACATCTCTCTTTACTTAAATATGTCTGGTCTGTAGTTCTGTTTACACAAACATCTCTCTTTACTTAAATATGTCTGGTCTGTAGTTCTGTTTACACAAACATTTCTCTTTACACAAACATCTCCCTTTACAGAATGACTCGCGTTTCTCTTTCCAGGAATGGCACGACGCCTATATCTCCTGGAAACCTGAAGACTATGGTCACGTGTTTAATGTCAGGATACCCTGTCATAACGTCTGGACACCTGACATCAAGCTGCACAACTAGTAAGTGTGTGGGGTGTGTGGGGTGTGTGTGGGGGTAAGGGTGTGTGGAGTGTGGGGGTGGTGGTGGTGGGGGTAGACAGCAGACATCAAGCTGCACAACTAGTAAATCTGTGTGTGGGGTGTGTGGGGTGTGTGGGTGGGAGTGTGTGGGTGGGAGTGTGTGGGTTTGTGGGGTTGGGGGTGGGGGTGGGGATAGACACCTGACATCAAGCTGCACAACTAGTAAGTGTTGGGGGTGTGTGGGGGTAAGGGTGTGTGGAGTGTGGGGGTGGGGGTAGACAGCAGACATCAAACTACACAGCTAGTAAGATCTGTGTGTGTCAATAGAGGTGTGTGTGGGGTGGGGGTTGTGTGGGGGTTTTGGGTTGGGGTGGGTGGGTGGGGTGGGGTGACGATTGTTGGCAGACGACTGCTATGTAGTGACGTGTATTTCTATAAATATTATGTTTACCACTGCTTTAGCAGTATCAGATATATCACATCCTAGTCTCTAAAGTAAAAAAAAAATCGATTTAAAAAAAATATCGTACCCATTTATCCTGATTTAAATAATAAAAAAATCTATCTCGTCTTAACAATTATCTTAATCGAGAATTAAAAACACAGAAAATGCATACGCAATCCCCCCACCCCCACGCACAATCCTACATCTTACCCCCACCCCCAGATAGAGCACTGGCCGAGAGCCCTAATACAAGGAGCACGGAGCAAAAAGCCCCGGAGACCCTCCAAGAAGAATCGTATGTCGTTAAACGTGATCTAATCTGGGGGAAATAAATCGCCCGATCTAGGGACGGCTAGCTCGAGGGCGCGTTGGTTTGGGAGATTTGGGCGGTGTACGGATGGATTTGATGGCTGATGTTTGACGGACAAAAGATGAACGTTGATGAGAGCTTCGCTGGCTTTTAACGTTCGTGATTTCTTCTAGGGTTGCTATTTGTTGAATTGGAGAAAAAAAATCAATTAACTTAAGCAGTCTAAAGCAATAGACTTTTACCGTTAAAAGTTAAAACACTGGGAAGTTTAATTCTTGTCACCTGTGTTTAATTTACTCAAGACTATCCTAAAAATGCCAGGCGTTTTTTTTTTAAATTAAAGCAACTAAGGTTTACTGTTACGATAAATAAACAAACAATATTCTACAATTATTTATTTCACAACTCAACAATTCCCTTAAAGCTTACAACAGCTCTGATTTTTTTTTAAAGTTAATCTCTTAACAAATTGTAATTCAATCGATCAAACTCTGCTAAATCGATAAATATTTAAAACAAATGTCCTTAAGATCCAGCACACCCATAACTCTTTGTTTCAAATCCAAAACTCCACCCACACCCACACACACACCCACACACACCCACACACACCCACACACACCCACACCCCCATTAAAAGCCATTGTTTCGTTGCCTTCATTTGCTTTTTTTAAAAAAAGAGAAAGATTGATTGGGACATTGTTACAACAAAAGGGCTCTAGCTTGTTTGGTTGGGAAATAGTTTGTAAAATAAAATAAAAAAAATTCATAAAAAACGTTTTAATAACAAGCTTTTATGTAATGATGCACTAAAAAGTAGAAAATAAATTATAGACTACTATTTAAATAACTATAAAGAAAAGCGTGGGTCACTTTAGTATCTATTGGATACCTTTACTAATGTTAAGGAAGACACCCACGCTTTTCTTTATAGTTATTTAAATAGTAGTCTATAATTTATTTTCTACTTTTTAGTGCATCATTACATAAAAGCTTGTTATTAAAACGTTTTTTATGAATTTTTTTTTCAGTACTTTACATGTTTTATCTACAATAGAGTTACATGACTAAAAACCATTGCGCGCCTACTGAACATCACGTTCAGTAGGCGCGCAATGGTTTTTGAACGCAGCCATTACGTGATGGCGCAGCTATTGAAGGTGATGACGCGTGTGGTGTGGTTGGCTAGACATGCCTACTAATTCGGTCCAAATTTTAATTAATTCATAAAAAATTAATTAGGCATCCAATTAAGTCAAATTTAGTTTCAGATTGCATTGTCTTCATGTCTTGACCCACGTGCCAACTGTGAATCGTATCGGTCAAGTAGAACTGTCCGAATTTTCACTCCTGCGTTTCCGTCTAGACTGACGACTGACGAGGAAGTGAGTTAAATAAAAGCTTGTAAAAATGTATGACACGTTTAGAGGGGGGGGGAGGGGTAATAATGTATGGGGTGCTTGCAACATCAGCTGTTGATGGGGTTATACCACATAGGACTCTACACATACGACATTTGTACGCTTCATATTGCCTTTGTAGGCTACAAGTATATTGTTTTAGGTTACACATAAACCTGTAGTAGGCTACACATTATAGGCTACAAATAAGCTATTGTAAGACCCCCCTCCAACAAAATTAAGGATACGTGTCAACTTGTTATGATTTTAGCCTGCATTTCTTTTTGGATTTGCTTCCATAGCCTTTGTCCAACCAAGAACAAACTACAAGGCAGCAGTTGTTTGTTTTTGGAGTTGTCTCTCCTAGAAGAGTTGCTGTCCCCAGCTAACGAGCCTCATCTCCCCGAGAGTTCGAACTTTTCGGTTTAGCAGCCTTGAGCTTTACCAACTCGACCACTCCGACCCCTATAGTCGACTAAATAGTCGTTATTGTAGGCAACATGTAAGATATAGTAGACTACACATACGCAATAGTAACGTTATAGAAACGTTATTCTAAGCTATACATGCGTCTTTCTTGGCTATACACAGGTTATTGTTGGCTACACATACATTAGTTTTGACTATTCAACGTTTCACAAACGCTATTTTGAGCCGTAGATAGGCTATTGTAGGCTACAACTTCGCTATGGTAAGACGCGATACAGTACGACGCGATATAGTAGGACAAGATATAGTAGGACGTGATATAGTAGGACGTGATATAGTAGGACGTGATATAGTAGCACAAGATACATAAAACTCAACTAACGCACTGCGGTATTTTCTTAACTCATGGCTAACCCATCTGGTAAGCTAAATGAGCGAGGCGGATCTAACTCAAGAAAGTTCGAGCATTAGAGCAAGCAGCTTATAACCTGAAGCTTTACGGTTTGAGTCAGTATTCTTGAAATCATAGTCTGATGTCCATTCAACATCCGATGACTATTCACAAATAAATAATTAAGAATTATTTCAAAATCGTGTAAATACTCAATATAAATTGCCGCAGGATTCAAACACAAACTAGTGAAATTGTCCTACAAAGAGTACTTTTCCTTAGTTGTTTTAAAAGTATATATTAAAAAATATTTTTAAAATTAGGAAAAAAACACATAGTTGCTTTTAAGTTTATGTCTTCTTTGAATGGTAACAACATTAATGTATAGTTTTTAGCGCAATTTCCTTATTAGCGCAATTTCCTTACAGGAATTGCGATTATTAACTTGTCATTTCTGGATGGATGTGTGTTCCCAGGTTTAAGTCGTATCTCCTCCTCAACGAAGCAATATCGAGGGCTAGTTCCAAAAGCAAATATGTTAAGCAAGTTCCGAGGATGATTGTGGGCCAAAAAAATTCCCGGAATTCCTTCCTGGATTTCCCGGAAAAGCCAAAACACCTCGAAAAAATGCAGTTTTTGGCTGGATGTGTCCGCAGCTTTAAGTCGTATCTCCTCCTCAACGAAGCAATATCGAGGACTAGTTTCAAAAGCAAATATGTTAAGCAAGTTCCGAGGATGATTGCGGGCCAAATAAATTCCCGGAATTCCTTCCTGGATTTCCCGGAAAAGTCAAAAAACCTCGAAAAAAATGCAGTTTTTGGCCCATATCTCGGCAACCAGACCACTTAGCGACTTGAAACATTTACCAATCGATTCCTGTCATAATTTAAAACAATATTGTCGAAGAAAGTTTTCAAAAATATCCTTTCGTTCGGTCACAATTTTTTTTTTTAAAATTACATAAACACCTACAAACCGAACGTTCTCCTAGCTTGAACGCACCCCAGCATTATACGTCTTGTGTTTTGTCCCCGTGTGTGCTTTACGCTACGACAGAGCTACGGGTTATGAACATAATACACTACAGTACTATATAGCAATATATAGATATAGATCTATGGGGAGAGGGATGTGTCAAAATAATCTATTTTTCGCTGTCTTTTAGATCTTGCTATAAGTTTATTTTTTACTTACTAATTCAAACGTCATTTTTGTACCCTATTAATTTATTTATAATTTATATGAGAGTGATAGGGAGTTACAATTACAAGGTTTTGATTCGCTAGGCCTAATCATTTTTTCACATTTTTTAAAAACAAACTTGATCACTATCTATTTTTAGATAACATGAGGAAATTGCGCTTAAATTGTCACTAGACTTTTTATTAACTTGTTGTTTTTTTTTAATCTGAGCAGTTTTTGCATTTAAGAATTAAAAAATCTAAGTCTCAATATACTACCCAGCAATCATTATATCCCCCACCTCGACCCAACACACAACGGTTCTGAAACTTCTTCCAGCGCAGACCTCCGTCTCAAAGAACACCGTGACGCCCTCTGCATCGTCAACCACAACGGCGACATCTACCACGTCCCGCAGGTCGTCTACCGCAGCTCCTGTCTCATCGACGTCTACGTCTTTCCGTTTGACGTCCAGAACTGCACGCTCAAGTTCGGCTCCTGGACGTACAGCTATGATAAGCTGGATCTGAGCTTCTACGGTGGCAAGGAGTGGATAGATCTTACAGAGTACATCGAGAGTAGTTCTTGGTGAGTTCTTAGTGGTCATAGCATCTGCCTTAGCATCTATTGTATACCACACAGACACACATACACAACACGTACATATATATATATATATATATATATATATATATATATATATATATATATATATATATATATATATATATATATATATATATATATATATATATATGGGACGGGATTGGTCGGGTGGTAGTGCTATCGACTGCTACTCCAAAGGTCTTGTGTTCGAATCTTGGTCAAGATCAGAGAATGCAAGACGTTCCTGAGTCCATCTAACTCACGTTGGGGAAAGTAAAGGAGGCTGGGCATAGTGCTGACCATACCATCCCTTTAATATGCAGAGGTTAAGAAACTTAGGAACTCTAATTCGTCTGCACTATTGATCGTACGGTCTGAAAGGGGGGCTTCGATAACGTTGAAAAAATAAATGTTGACGACCACCAGTTTATAAGTAGTGGTGTGTCCGACCTACATGAATGTTCTAGATAAAGTTTAATGTTTAATACTTGTGTGCTAGTGTACCTCTACCAGATGTTTCCTTAATACCTGGGTGCTAGTGTACCTCTAGCAGGTGCTTTTTAATACCTGGGTGCCAGTAAACCTCTACCAATACATCATTAATACCTGTGTGTTAGTGTACCTGTACCAGAAGCTACTCCTCCCCGCAGGTCTATCCTGGACGTTCCCGCCTACCGTCACATCAAGAACGTCCGCAACACGAACGAGTCTAGAGTAGAGCTGTACTACCACATTGTCTTCCAACGTCGATCAGCCCTGTACAACTACATCCTGATCTTACCGTGTATCTTGTTGACTACCATCACACTGGTGCTGTTCTTCATTCCGCCAGAGTCGCCGGCCAAGATGCAGTTAGGTGAGACACGCTTAATGGTTAGGCGAGACAGTTAGGTGAGACAGGTGAGACAGTTAGGTGAGACAGTTAGGTGAGACAGTTAGGTGAGACAGTTAGGTGAGACAGTTAGGTGAGACAGTTAGGAGAGACAGTTAGGAGAGACAGTTAGGTTGGACAGGAGAGACAGTTAGGTGAGACAGTTAGGTGAGACAGTTAGGTGAGACAGCTAGGTGAGACATGTTTAGTGGTTAGGTGAGACAGTTAGGTGAGACAGGTGAGACAGTTAGGTGAGACAGTTAGGTGAGACAGGTGAGACAGTTAGGTGAGACAGTTAGCTGACACAATTAGGTGACACAGTAGGTGACAGTTAGGTGAGACACGCTTAGTAGTTATGTGAGACACGCTAAGTAGTTAGGTGATACAATTAGGTGACAATTATGTGAGACAGTTAGGTGAGAAACGCTAAGTAGTTAGGTGATACAATTAGGTGGCAATAATGTGAGACAGTTAGGTGAGACAGTTAGGTGAGACAGTTAGGTGAGACAGGTGAGACAGGTGACACAAATTAATGAGTTTGTAAACCTTGCAAATAAAATTAAATTAGGCAAAACTAGCTAGGTTTTTCAAAGACCTTTGTTTTACGATTTTTTATGAGTCATTATTATGTTAATAATAATAAAGAGAAAGATAACAAATCTACATAGTATGTATTAACATACAAGTAAATACTGATACTCACTGCTGCCGCTTTTAAATTCTACTATTTGATACTATTACCCAATTTTAGAACACAATACTACTATTTAATACACTACAACTACATCATATGACTAGATACTGCTTATGAATACCACTATAATAATACTCCTACTGGAAATACTACTACTACAAATTACTACTGTACATTCGTACTACTTCCTAGTCCTACTACTAAATACGACCAATTTACATATGAATACATTCTACTACTGAATACTTCTACTACAATATACGACTAAATTATAATGATTTCTATGTTTGTAAATACTACTACTCCATACTTTTAATAGATAATAATGCTTTATACTTGAATATATACTATTTTACAAAACTACTATAAGTACTACTATCAAATACTATTATTTAATAATACTGAACATAATACTACTATACTACTACATACTAGTACTAAATGTTAATGCTTCGATCTTCCATAAATAATATTTTACAAATCTGATATAAATACTAATATAAGTACTACTGTTAAATACTACTATTACATACTAATATAAATACTACTACTAAATACTACTAGTAAATACTACTATTACATACTACCCACTACATACTACTTTGTCATGACAACAGGTCTCGCCATTTTCATCGCCTTCTTTGTGCTCCTGCGACTTTTGGAGAAGAATTTACCGCCTGGGACCTTGCATATGCCACTACTAGGTGAGTAACGTTTGTATATACCACTACATACATGCCACTACTAGGTGAGTATCGTTATATATACCACTGAATACATGCCACTACTAGGTGAGTATCGTTATATATACCAATGAATACATGCCTCTATTAGGTGAGTATCGTTTGTAGATACCACTACATACATGCCTCTATTAGGTGAGTATCGTTTGTAGATACCACTACATACATGCCTCTATTAGGTGAGTATCGTTTGTAGATACCACTACATACATGCCTCTATTAGGTGAGTATCATCTACAATTGCCACTACATTTATGCCACTTCTACTTGAGTATGGTCTGCATATATCACTACATACACGCCACTATTAGTTGCGTATCGTTTGAATATAGACCTACCACTACACTCCATTACTTGAATAATATCCTCGGCATATGCCACTATATATATGCAAGGTTTTGTTGAGTATGGTCTGCATATAACAATACACAGATAACATGACTTGGAGAATATCATCTGCATATGTCAGTATACATTAAATATAGCCGGCAAATACCACTCAATCCATTAAAACCATAATGAAGTAAGTTTTATTTACCTCTGATGAGTTGAGCTCTTCATTTAAACAACCAATGTCTTAAGATACTCTTTACATAATCCATTTGGAGGCGGAAGCTCTCGGTATATAACGGTGTAATAATGTGCCCAGCAGTCTCTACTTTCCCTAACGGACTCGAGCCCGTATTCACAACATATATGTAGAGCGTTATACCAACCCACCACGCCGTTCCATAACAATTATGTATAACTAGAGTGTTATTGATGCCATCATAATTAATTCTTCAACTAGTTCAACCTGTACAATGATTGACAGCCAAGAAGGGCATTATATCTCGGTGTTAAACTAAGAGCAAGGTTACCTTTTGTACCTAGAGGTCCATACAGGGGAGCAGGACATTATCCACCCCCGTCAATTACCCCTCTAGGAGCAACTACCTCCCCCCCCCCCCCGCATTAATTTTTGTCCTTGTCATTTAAGGTTAAGTTAGGGTTAGGGTAAATATATGGGTAATGGTTAGGGTTATTGTTAGTGACACGGTTAGTGTTAGTTTTAGATGTAGGTTTAGAGTTGATGGTTAGGATTGATGTTAGGGTTAAGGTTATCTATAGCTTTGTATATGGTGTTCGGGGTTAGGGCTAGAGCTAGAGCTCTTCAGCATTGGGAGGGGGTAATTGACGCGGGGGGGGGGGGGGGGGGTAATATCCAAGACCCCCGTGCGGGTAGATGAAATAGAGTTCATATGTTTCTGTGACCTCGACATATGGAATAATAGTGTGCGAAGCATTATTCCCAGCCGCTTTTATCTTCCCTAACGTAAGTCAGGTACCCATTAAAGCTGGGTGAACTTAGGGACGCCTCATGGACTCGAACCCGGGATCCAGACTCGAGAACTTCGGGTTAGCACGCCATGACCCTGGAATGTCGTAGAGACCCCAAACAGCTAAAACAACCTTAGCATCACAAAAACACCTTCACACCGTGTCAACAAGACATGCCACCACCTCACACCCTCACACCCTGTCACCAAGACATGCCACCACCTCACACCTTCACACCACACCTTACCGCAGACAAACAACAACGACAGAAACACAGCTTTATTGAACCGAAATGCCCTCGCTACAATACATACATCACACCTACAATCAAAACTGTGAAAAATAAAAAAAAATATATAAAAATATTTAAAAAAAACATAAAAAGCCAAACTCGATCACGTGATGTGATGTGTTTTTCTCCAAACTAAAAAAAATAAAAAAAAATTAAAAAAAATAAAAACCAGATAAGAGCAAAAAAGTGAAATAGATAGGATACACAGCTGTGTGTTGCATCCATAGGACCCCCTCACCATCCATTCTGCTGATGTAGCAAGTTGACGCTTTGGGGAAACAACGGGCGGGGGTGAGTGGTGGGAGGAGGGGGGGGGGCGGGGGTCTGTGATGGCCAGGCGCCCTATTCTCGCCCCACCAGCGTTAGGATTAAATTAGATAAGCGGTTTGCACATGAGAATAGGGTAGGTGGCGTCGCACTCGTTAAATCCCCCTTTTCCCCCCCCCCCCCCTTTCTCTAATCGATTCTGTTGTATAGTAGATATATTTCCACGGTGAGCAAAAAACAAAATAATGTAATTTTATTATCAGGAGTGCGGTTATACAAAAATAATAAGCTTATATTTTTTAGTTATTAAGTTCCGGGGGAGAAAAATATAACAAAGAAATAACAAGATATAACAGAAAAATGGCGGTTGGAGTGGTATAGAAAAGGGTCAGATATTTTTTACTAGAAGGGGCAGTGTTTGTTTTAATTTTCGATGCATTAGCGAGACGTTGAAGCCGGGGCTTCAATATTTGATGGGCTGAGCGTCGAGGGACTGAAGAGGAGAGACAGAAGTATAGCAGGGGTTAGGGTCTGATTAGGTTAAGGTCTGTCTGTGTGGGTTGGGGGGGGTTGTGTATGTTGTGTGGGAGGTGGATGGGTTTGTGTAAGTTGTGTGGGAGATGGATGGGTTATTGTAAGCTGTGTGAGGGAGGTGGTTTTGGCTTGTGTATGTTGTGTGTGGGAGGTGGGTGAGCTTATTGAAAGTTGTGTGAGGGAGGTGGATGGGTTTGTGTATGTTGTGTGTGGGAGGTAGATTGGGCTTGTGTAAATTGTGTGGGGGAGGTGGTTTTGGCTTGTGAATGTAGTGTGTGGGTTTGTGATTGTAAAGGTTCTGCGTGGGAGGTAAATGGGCTTGTGTGTTGTGTGTGGGAGTTGGATGGGTTTCTGTAAGTTGTGTGTGGGGGTGACTTGGCTTGTGTAAATTGTGTGTGGGAGGTAGATGGGTTTGTGTATGTTGTGTGAGGGAGGTGGATGGTCTTGTGTAAGTTGTGTTGAGGAAGTGGCTGGGCTTATGTAAAGTACGTGTAGGGGTGGCTGGGGCTTATGTAAATTGTGTGGGAGAGGGGGCTGGGCATTTATAATGTGTGTGGGAGAGGGGGCTGGGCATTTATAATGTGTGTGGGAGAGGGGGCTGGGCATTTATAATGTGTGTGGGAGAGGGGGCTGGGCATTTATAATGTGTGTGGGAGAGAGGGCTGGGCATTTATAATGTGTGTGGGAGAGGGGGCTGGGCATTTATAATGTGTGTGGGAGAGGGGGCTGGGCATTTATAATGTGTGTGTGATTTTGTTAGACTTAGGTAGCTTTTGTATGAGAGGTGACTAGTATATATGCACACACACATATATAGATATATAGAATTATACACATGTCGTGCTTTTATCGTTATTTATAACAACGAATGAACAGACATTTTGTTTAACTGTGCTAGGGATATAGGATAACACTTCAGCCAGAAAACGCTTTTATCAATTACAGTAGAGAGCGGCTTTAATAAGAGGCTGACGGCCAAGTGTATAAAAGCTGTGAATTGGGTTTCGTTAATCCGGGGAAAGGAGAATCAATTGGAATTTTCAACATTAAATTATTGGGCGCTAACTACGTCTCTAAACACAATTTATGTATGTATGTATGTATGTATATATATATATATATATATATATATATATATATATATATATATATATATATATATATATATATATATATATATATATATGAATGCATACTATTTATGTGTTTATAAATCGCTTGTAGTATATGTTCAACATACATAGTAAAGCCAAGTAGTGTTCTTTTAATACAACATACACCAAACCAGAATGGTTTTTGGACGAGAATGGATGATCATCTCAACTCCGTAAAAATTGGTGTTTAAACCAAGTGTTGTGGGTTATGTTCATGTCCCAGATGCATTATCTACACCTCTACGTGTAGCGACCTGTGCACTGCGAGACGAACTCAATAGAATGCCAGATACATTTTCTCTGTTGGAAGTTTTAAACAAGATTAAGCTCGCCTTGCGCTGACCTCATTAACACAATACCCGATCCAGTTCTGTACTTTAAGATTGGTTTATTAAATTTGGCCAACATTTTTATCAAATTTGGCCAACATTTTTATCAAATTTAGCCCACAAATTTTTTTTGTTTGGCTTCCACGCTGTGTCTGGACACCGCTTAGATGCCAGGTTGGAAAACGTCTTGAAAACAGACACCGTCTGGGTTTCTTCCCTCCACATCGATTGTAGGTCTTTAACGCTCTGTTCCTGTATTACGGGAGTTTAACCCTCTTAGGGAATTTAACCCTCTATGTGCTTAGCCGTCTAGGCTAGCGTAACCCTCTATAGGAGTTTAACCCACTAATGATGAACTATGGGAATTTAACCCTCTAACAGTGTTTAACATCCAGTGGTAGTAGCCGTCTAAAAGAGCTTTAACACTCTTTCTATAAATGATGGGGGTTAAACCATGACAAGGAAATATTGGAGTTTAACCTTTATGGGAGTTTAAGCCCTTTGGGAGTTTAACCCTTTGATTATGTATTACGTGAATTTAACATTATAATTATAAATTACGGGCGTTAAACCCTGATGATATATTACCCGAGTCTCGCTCTATAATGTTAAATTATTGCGTCCTCCCTTTGATGTGCGTATAGATACATCACGAGTTATTATAATTCGTTAGCTAATTATAGGAAATTACCGCTTACTTATATGATTAGCTGGGTCGTAAATATTTTACACATAAATGCACTTAATTTGGATATCTCCGCCAACGGTCTAGGGTTTATTCAGAAGCGTTATGGTCGATACGTGTGTTCAGCTTGCTAAATTTTCTTGGTGTAACAAACATAAAATACAAACCTCTAAAATACGAATTACTCTAACACGAACCATTCAAATACAAACATCCCAAAGTCGAACATCTCAAATAAAACATCCCAAAGTCGAACCTCGCAAATACAGACATCCCAAAGTCGAACCTCGCAAATACAGACATCCCAAAGTCGAACCTCGCAAATACAGACATCCCAAAGTCGAACCTCGCAAATACAGACATCCCAAAGTCGAACCTCG